GACAGAATAAACTAAAAGATCATTTTATAAGCAAGAGGTCTCACCCGAATAATATCCTCCTTCTCCGTCTCTTGCAGCTGGTAAAGGATCTTGGACAGTTCCTGATCAGCCTCCATCTTTCCAATGATCCGCTCCTTTTCTGCCTCACTCTGAGCACTTGCCAGCATGGTACAATACTGAACTGCATGTCAGAAGAAAAAGTGATTTACTTCAAAAAGTCACAAGATCGAATCGATTTTAAACAACACTGTTCTACACCACTGACTTACTCATGCGACGATGCTGACGGAGGATTTTGATGAAATCAAAGGTGTTGAAGCCCAGCAGCAACACCAGCTGGTTCTCACATTCTCTATCGTCGCTGGCAGTCTGTGGAATACAGAGAGACAGTGGATGAGCGAATCTGAAAAATATACACGTGTATGGACTACAAGATGGGCTATAAGATTACATACCTTGAGGATTTCCAACACTTCATCCGCTTTCTTTTGGGAGACAATGGCATCATCGTAGAAACGGCTGAGCTGACGCTGGAGCCAGAAGGCATCGATGTCTCGAGGATGTAGATCTTTTTTCTTTGCCGTCATCACGTCGCCCGTGGCACCAAGCTAAACGAAAAGTAATTTATTAACTTTCAGTGCGGTGTTGTGTGCAATACTTCAAAAAGATACAACTATCTTTGTAAATATTGATTCAGAAGTTGCACTTACGTTGGCTGAAAGAGCGCAGCCCACACCCGCCTCCTCTCCTTCGCTGTCTTCATCCGAGTGTTCGTCTCGTACCTCCCCAAACTGGTCTTCGTCCCCCTCCTAAATAATTAGGGAAAAGAAAAATCTATGACACAATCTACCTACAACTCTGATCTTTCAGCTGCATCTCAGGAATAACTTGTGATTCTTAATGATTAAGCAAAAAGCCCTCACCTCCTCGTCAGATTCAAACTGGACATTCACACCGTATGTTTCATCGATGTTGTCATCTGTAAAGGTAAGATATGGTCCATAATCACAAGAATACTTTCATGGAAAACTTAAACATGACTTACTGACATCATTAACTTATTAATTACCCATATTCTGTAAGTCCTTGTCGCCTCCGTAGTCGGAGATCTTCTTGCCCAAATTAACCAACACATGGTAGCGTGTGTCATCAGCGGGCCCAAGAAGCTGCTCTACTTCACGCCGCCTTTCCTTGTCCCTCATTTTATCATTCTTCAACACCGCTAATACCTCATCCGCCGCTCCACACAGAATATCACGCGGCTGCAAGAAGATATAATAACAAGGTCAGTTAAAGCTTCAGGAGCTTGATTAAAAGCACAAGCTGACATTTAAACAAAACGGGTGTTTTAGAGTTTACAGACCTGATCTCCCAGAGCAGCATGGATGAAGCTAAGCAACACTTCATAGGTCTCTCTGGTTTCTTTGGTTTTGGGCTTGTACACAATGCCCACCATTTCATCAATGCCTTCAGACAGAAGAGTAAAACCCTTCATTTTTTTGATGTCGTGTCTGTCCTCGTCTCTTTTCCGCCTCCTGTATAGACGGAACAAGACAAAAAGAAAAGAGTTAAGAGTAGTGTCACTCAGCGATGACAACATAACTGAGGTGTATTATGAAGATTATAAATTTAATTCCTTAGCCATTTGTGCCAAATGTATTCCAGACCTTAGCAGAGGTCTGACATGATCAAATTGAATTTGTGAGAATATCTATGATTCCAGTATTTGTTGGCAAATCATCACCATTAATTATCAATTATTGTTTTTGGTGTGACCTTGTAAATTATTTAAAATATTACTTTAAAAAAAACTTTATTTTTATCTTCTGGATTTGTATTTTCAACATGCAATGAGTTACAAATGTCAACATCCCTAAAAACTTTAAATACAGACCCTTTAGATGCGTTTAAACAATCTTAACTATCAGCTATATTGGAAGGCTTTGATCACAATGGAAATGTTTAACATAAACTTTTAATGCTTAAAAGTTTAAGGGGGCTAAAACATGTGCAGACATCGGTGTTACGTTGTTTTAACTTTACAAAGACGATAAAAACGTGTTGTTGACAGCACGTACTTGTCTCGTCTCTCCTCCAGCTTCTGGGGTTTGGTCCTCTGAGCCTTGTCGCCCATCTTGGTCCCTTCCAGCTTCCCCACCAAGGACAGCACCTCTCCGTTGGGTTCATCTCTCCGTGTGCGGTCGATCAGAGAGCGATCGGCTTGTAACACCAAGTTAGAGTTCTAGCAGGTCGATGCAAACACAAAGTAAACGTTACGGTGATCAGTAGCGACACTAACGTCTCCGCAGCTAGCGGCTAAGCTAACTGCTAGTTAGCATAACGGCTAGCTGCACACGTAGTAGCATGAATTTAAAACATTTAGCATTTGTTTTTTTAGCTTGATTGCGTTAGAGCAAACTATCAGAGACACTACCAAAGATAGTACACTTCCAATATGTTGGGATTAATGCATATATCTTTAAATATACTCACCGCTTTGTACTCGTACTGCAAGCTACGGGCAGTAACATCCGCCATGGTGCGAGTTTCGTGTTTTAACTTTTACTGCACTTTAACTGAATGTGAACCAGCTCACTAATACATCCAGAGTTGACGTTACTCTCTCCTTTCAGGTAGACGCTGGGATCATCGGTGCAGTCTTTGGATTTACAGCATGAAACAGTTTTCAAAATATCAGAGTTTCATACAAGTAAATGCGTCTCCAGTACGTCACAAAAGCAGTTAGTTAACACGAGCTCACAACAAGCCGCCGCTAACGCTCATTTCCGTTTCCGGTGTCAAAGGTTAAACCTGGTACACACACACACACACACACACAACGCCCCCTGCAGGCTGTGTTTATCTCTCATCATACTTTCAGTTTTAAATTGCCTATATTCACAATACAGTCCTTGCAGGACACTAAATTCAACATGATTTATCTAAAACATTAGTAAATAGCACCCACTCACAGCCTGTTCATTACGTACAACAAATTAAAGCAGTCATTCTGTGTTATTATTCAATGTTGCTAATAGGTTGTCCTAAAATACCTCAATCTTTGGCTTTTGATTCCTGGCTATTAAAAAGATAGCTCAGTGCCCCCAAATAATTAACTCTTATCAGTATAACTGCATTGTGAATGGTCCCAGCTGCATTCTCTTACCACAATACAACTTCAGTATTTGAAAAAAGTCTATTCATCTATTTATTTATTTTTAGTCATTTTTTGAAGTATGCTGGTTAATATAGATGTCAACATGTCTGGTTGCTACAAACATAAAAGGGAAATTCTCATATTTAAGGTAAATGGGCTGCACTCACAGCATTCACAGCCAGATGGCAGCACAGAGTGTTTTGGAGTCCAATGGTTGCTCAAAGATACTTTGCCTTGTGAATAGGAGAGTCAGTGATCAGACCATCAACCCTACGGTGAAGGGACGACCCATTCCAACTTCTGAGTAACAACAGACCTTAAACATGGACAAATGCTTCCTGTGTATTATGAATGTTCATTATGTATGGCTGTTGAAGAGATTTAACAAGTATATGTGCAAGTATTTCACAGGTGTATGTGTGCATTCTTTGTGCTTATGTGACAGAAATGTTACATTTTTGGCCTAAATTACCTCTCATATTGATGTAGTATGAAATGTAGTAAGCACTAAAGATATGATGTAGAAACTATATTATGAAACTGAGACAGGAACACAAAAAGAAGTAGAGGAAGATGCAGTTAATGTGGGTGTGACCGTTTCCTTAAGAGAGAAGTGTGTGTTCATGTTTGTTTTTACTGTCTGTGGCCTCATATAACTTCCATCTCCTTTTGCACATCTGTATGTCCTTTTCCTCCATTCAGAATCTCTGATGTTTTATATCTACTGAGCCAGTCTTAACTTCAGTCACACCCAATGGCAGACACACACACACACACACACACACACACACACACACACACAAAAAAAGAAGGGGTGACACAGATAAATGGGCTGCACACATCAGTGAAACAAATTATAGGTTAGTGTGCATGTGGGGGATTGAGGGATTACTGACAATTGACACACACACACAGTGTTATTCAGGATATCTGTAGTTATTCCAGGTCATATTTGGAGTGTGTTGATCCTCCTCTCATCTGTCAACACATTACTTATGAAGTGCACTCTTCTGTCCTCTCTGATTTAAAGGACATGTGGACTTGTGATTAACAGACACAATGATGGTGTGGTCAGTGATTAATTTGCCTTCTAATTATTTGTCATTATAGCTGGATTTAGACGGCTCAATAGAAATATTACATTTAAAAACTTAAAAGGTTTCCCCACCCAATATGCGTTTGTGTAACTCCTCCATTGTACTTTAGACTCGTGTCCAGACAATGTGATCTGTGTGTCTTTCTGTCACAGGGACACCACATGAGCACACTTCAGCTGTCTGAGCAGCTGTTGTCGTGACGCCATCTGTGAACACACTCGGCCCCAGAGCTCCCAACAGGAGTGTGAGAAAACACATTGTCCCTGAAACACACGCACACACCGAGTCCTGCATGTACGGCCTAGACAGAGCGGAGAAGGATCGCTTTCTTCCAGGAAGAGTCTGTTGAGCGAGGTTTACCGTCTGTGCTGCCACAGCTCTGTATTAAGGCAGGGTTAGCCTAGGTAAGGTATTAGAGGCTGGAGCTCCTGACATGTGGCTTCTACACTATTCTTGTCCCCACTGAAATGAATTCCACAATGTTCACTCATTATCATCTTGTGCCAATTCATCACAAACTTCATCTTCCCAAAATAGCATTACTTTTCCTATTTATGCTACGGTATAATGACCTGGTTACCTCCATTTAAAATTGCCTCTTTGATCCGACAGTTTAATATGCACAAGACATTCAATAAAGGTGCAGTACTGGTGAAACATAGCCAAACACACTCCACCAAAAGCCAAACAATATTGAGAAATGAGAAAATGGTGAGCTGTGAAAGTCATCACACAATGAAGCGTGGTAATGTCTCTCTGTACAGTTTTATTTACATGATACTATTCTGTCGTAATGCTGGATAGCAAGATTATATGTAATACATAAATATCAACACAGTTTGTTGTTTTTTCATTTTTTGTACAAATTTGCATATAACTAAGAATCAGAAAGGGAAAACTCAAAACGGATACATACAGTTGCTTTTAAAATGAAAAAAAAACATCCTTACAGGGGGAGAAAAAAAACAGGGATTAACACAAGTCACAAACATACGTTGGTTTCAGTGTGTCAGGCAGCCATGAAAACACACTTTTGCACAGGAATGTGCACATGCACGCTCACAAATACACACACACACACAGACCCTTTTCTATGGTGCTCTAAAGCAGTCACACAGACCAATAGCTGTTAGACAGATGAGGAGTTACATCTAATCTTGGTATCTATTATTTTTCATAAATCTAGCTCTGGCATGCTCCTGTAGTTCTGTAAACATGTGCTGATAAACCGGGTAGCTCCACAGACAAAAAGGTTGGGGAACAACACACACACACACACACACACACACACACACACAGTGCTCACATGAATGTTCTGTTAGCGTATTAAAAAAAAAAATATATATATCATGGTTCACATTCCATAAAAGCACTGAATGCATGCGCTAACATCAGTACAATATCAATGGAAGAGGAAAAAAAGCTAATAAAAACATAACAGATAATTGTCTCAACAAATAAAATGTCTGAAACCCTAAATTGAGTGATGCCAAATATTTCTGAAACACTAATGCAGATGAAGAGTAACTCATGCATTTATCCCATTCATTCATGCTCCTACCAGGCCTGCAAGGGGAAGGGTGCCATCCTTCCTCTCAGGCCACACAGCCCTGCACCAGGCATCTGTGATTACAATATAAGCTCAGACCAGTTGAGGAACTCCTTTACCCATCATGTCCATTGAAAATGTTTAGATTTAGTGAAACTTGGGAGTAATTGGTTTGTCCCTGTCTAGCGTGATACCTCCAGCCATAATGGAAACAGCCTCATCACAATCAAACCAATCAAAGTCAACACAGACATGCTGATCAAAGGGTCACTGAGGCTGACTGTCAAGATGATCCACGGTTCTGCAGGGGACAAAGCTGGTGAAAACAAAGTAAAAGGGAAGACAACAAAGCTTAACACAGCAGCTGTGAGGTAGGTAAAGCTAGGAAAGACAGAGACAAAGTAACAAAGCCCCTTGTGCATGGTGGGGGACAGTTGTACGGTTCTCCAAACGTTGACCGACTCCAGTACCAACGGAGCACAGAGCAAGAAGTTCAAAAGGTTGAGGGACACAACTCGTGTGGACTGTTACTGTGTAATCTGAATGCTTTGATAGACATGCTAGTGTCTGACACATGACAGGGTCTTAGTAAAATGGCTGTCTACGGTTTGGCACAAAATGGCGCCTGGTTTGGGTGAGAGGAGCACAGCATATCCTGGACATTTAGCCTGGGCTGCTCTTAATAAGACAAGACATATTCTTAAAAAAAAACAAAAAAAAACAACAACAAAAAAAAAACTGGACTGGACAGCCGCAAAGTCACACCACAGAAAGTAGGATAAAACAAACTAATGAATTAATCAAAAAAAGAGGAAAGTGATCATTCATGCATCTCCCTCAGACAGGATCTTCTTTTTTTCTCCATCATTTTCTTGAGGTTGTTATTTCGTAAAATCAAGTCCTTTCGATCCTCACTTAGCCACTCGTGCTCCTTTCAAAAAGGTTCACACTCATTCTCCAGTCTTTGTCAAAGGTGTTGTCATCGTTGCTGTTTCTGTTTTTGTAAAATCTATATTCTCTGGATCTTCTCCGCCACCACCACAGGGTTCTCTTTACGGATCTTGGCGGCGGCCTCGGCCTTGTAATCATAGGGACAATTGTGCTTGTCGGAGTACCGGTGGATGCCACAGAACAAGTTTCCACAGCGACAGTCGAACCCTGGAAGCACAAAAAGGTCAGGGTTCAAAAGCTAGAACGGGAGAGCTGAAAGTCGTGATCAGAGAAAACGCTTTGGCTTTCCATCTATAACCAATAAAACTGTTATCACAACCTGCCTCGCTGACATGTAATCACACGTGTTGCATCAGATGCTCCTTCATGTCCCCATCTGCTCACCTGTAAGGCCCACCCTTTTGCGGCACATGAAGCACCTATTCTTCTTGGGTTTTGAGTTGTCCCCCTTGCCTTCTTCACTGCTGGAAGACGCTACAGGAGAAGGGCTAGAAGCAGCAGGCTGGTTTACAACTACAGAAGAGAAAGACAACAGGGGAAATAGAATACTTTTTAGTCATGCTAGGTTTAATTTGCCATTATCTTGACATCTTGAGAATTTGTAAGAGCAGCAGATTAATGAGTTGAGTTAATTTTTCTATAAAGACATGCATAAACACTGGCAACTGAAATGATCTCCTTATCTCTAAATTGCCCCCTCTTTTTCTTGGCAGAAAATAGTGCACTACCACTGAGAAGGCCTCTGGCAGGCAGCATCCACTCTGAGAATACCCTCTGGTGTAGAGGTATTTTTAAACAGGTTTATTTTTAGACCTCCTCTCTTTTTTTGGAGGCTGTAAGTAAAACCAACAGTTGGATTTAAGGTATGCAGCTAAGCATCGAAAATAAACTGTGGCTACAGTGGCTCCTACAAGGAGATGTTTGCCTCAAGACGTCTGTATGCGAGCGTTCATCTTCATGCGTCTGTTCTTGGCCCGTGTGACACTTGTTTCTATCGGCTAGCCTGTCGGTAACTACAAGCGTGTCTAAGTGAGTCTGCATGTTTTACCAGGCTCCAAGGACTCTGGCTTGTCCTCTCTCGAGATGCTCATCTCTGTCATTTGTTGGGTCACAGGAAGAGATCCTTGAACAGTTCTGAAGGTTTAAATAAAACAAAAAGGGAGAAACAGGGATCAGCAGGAGAAAAGGAAACATTCATCACAATTTATCACATTCACCGATTACTAACTACCTTAAAATAAATTTAAAAAAATCAAACGCAGTACTACTGACCTAGACATGTCTGGTGAAGAGCAGGGGGAGGCATCAACCTTGGCTAGACTGGCTTCTAGTCTCTGGATGGCTGAGGCCTCTGACATAGGACTACCAGCTGAGCCTGGGTGAGAACAGAGTGAACTCCATTACACAAAAACATTTGAAATCGATACAAAAAGGATTAAATATGTACAATCATAGGTGGAAAATTACTTGTATATCAAGAACTGTAATTATTGTTGAAATTAAATTAAAATAAACTAATTTTATCGACTCCAGATTAATAATTTCAAATCTCTTCGGTTGACTTTCTCAAAGCTGTATTCGAGATAATCTCTCTGCTCTTTTTACTGTTTGAAATATAGGTCTCAACAGGTGGCCAGTGTCACATTGTGGGAGAAACTTCAATGTTTGATCTGAGAAATGTTTAAAAGGAGTGAACACCCACCTAACCTTGAACACTGTAATGAAGAAAACAGCTGTCTGTCATTACAAAGAGTGGAAAAACAGAGAGGGAGGGCAGGGGGCAGGAGAGCTGGGAAATACACTGACTGGCCTGGAACTGGTTTTATTTCAAAACAAATGTCTACACTCATACGAGTCCCTCCTTATCTCAAGCTGTAAATATATAGTTTATAATACATCCATTTGTTTACAACACAAACTGGGCTTCTGAAATCAATTTGGGGTGCAATCATTTCTACCATATCTCTTTGTGTGTACTAACTTACCCATAGGGCTGTGGGGGCTCATGCGGTCACTGCTCTGCTGCCGTGTCAGGTGATCCTTATAGCACACGGAGCACATACCGTTGGTTCTTGGGTTGCCATAGAATCCGCAGCCCGTGGCACAAAGCACCGGGCTCTGGTTCGTCTCTTGGGCCATTGCTAACAGAACGAGAGCAACAAGAGTGAGAATTAGACTGACACACACACACACACACACACACACACACACACACACACACACACA